ACAGAGAGCACGTAGAGGAATGTAAAGGCCCATAGGAAACCCACAGCAAGGCTCGCTCAGAGCAGGAGGGGGCTGCATTTTGCTGCCCCACTCTTCTACACCGACTTGGCGAAGCCGATGCGGTTGTACGCCATGTCAAAGATGGTGTAATACTCCTTGAGGAAGACGTCGCCCAGAATCCAGAGCGGCTGCCCGTTCTGGGATGGCAGGTAGGTGACTTCGATCCCAACAGTGCAGTACCCATCGTTCTGTACGGGGAAATAATGGGGAGTCAGAGCCTGGGGAAGCACCCGGACCCCGCAGGTGTGCAGGGAGGGGAGCATCGCTGTTCACCAGGAGCTCCAGGTCTCTGCTGGACTCCTGGGACCTGGGAGGACAATACGTACATTGAGGACGTAGGCAGAGGGGGTCAGCGGGAGCTGCACCCCATTGATGATGAAGGAGATGGTAGGCAAGCTCTGGATCATACTGCAGTCAACTGCGTACTGTGGAGAGAGGGTGATGGAGAGATTATGGCTGGAGCAGCACAGGGAGCAGCACTGGCTGTGAGGCACAACACTTCTCAAGGCCCAGCTGTGCCCCCGCTTCACACACAGCACTGTGCCCTGCAGACACCATCTGGGTTTTGCAGGATTTGTCCAAACCCAGGGCTCGTGGCTCAATTACAAACCCCACCCTGACCCAAACACATTCCTTACCCCATAGCTGGTCTCCTGGGCGCCCACAGCCTTCAGGAATCTGCTCAGGTACTGCGCGGGCACAGTGAGCAGGAATGTCCCTGTGTCCACGATGGCCTGGCAGCCCTGGCTGCACCAGCCCATCACCGACTGTCCGATAGAAAACCTGAGTACAGAAAGGTGGTGGACGTCACTCTGAGCCCCCAGCGGGCACAGAACCCACCTTGTCCAGGTCTTGGAGGCCAGAACCTGAGGCTGCACACAGCTCCGTCAGGGATGGATGCAACTCACTCATCGATCGCCACCTGCCAGTAAAGCTCCTCGGTCACCGGCGCCCACACGATGTCCCCAGTGAACAGCTTAGAGTCCACTCCTCCCAGCACGAGCTCTCCTCCATAGTTGTAGGTGGGATTGCTGCAAGAACAACGCAGTTAGAGCAGCAAGGAACCTGCGTGGGGACAGCCAGAGGGACAGAAATGCAGGTGGGCTTTACCGAGAGAAGTAGAAGCTGAAGATGGGCTTCTTGAGCTGGTGCTGCTGCAGCATGCCCTGCAGGGGGGTGGGCGTCCCTCCAACCGCGAGCGCAGGGTAAGCCATCCCCATGATCCCATCAAATTGGGCGTAGTAGAACGGCTGGGTGGGCTCATCCCAGCTTAGCCCAAACTCCTGGTTTCTGACTGAGATGGTCTGGATCTGGAGGGGGAGGGAGTGCTGCGTCAGCCCGTGCACTTGCGCAAAGAGTGCAAAGCCCAGGAAGGTAAAATCGAAGAGTGCTCAATAGAAGGGTGCAAACCCAAAGATTGCAAACAGAGAGTGCAAAGCCAAGGAGTGCAAAACCAGAGTGCAAAGCCAAAGAGTGCAAAACCAGAGTGCAAAGCCAAGGAGTGCAAAACCAGAGTGCAAAGCCAAAGAGTGCAAAACCAGAGTGCAAAGCCAAGGAGTGCAAAACCAGAGTGCAAAGCCAAAGAGCACCCTACAAGGTTGTAGCTGGTGAAAACATCCCTGGACGCCTGGAAAAACTACCGGCAGTCATGCAAACAAAGCAAAAAATCCAGCTGGGTAACTGAAGGGAGCTATAATCACTTTGCATAGCTTCTGCCCATCTCAGGACCTGGTTTGTGCCATGCTATCTGCATAAGAGATATGCAGATCGCTGCCCCCAGCCCGTCCCCTCGGCGGCGCACCCACCCGCAGTGTGTCGTAGCCCAGCACCACTGTCAGCGTCCCACTGCCGTAGGACAGCGTAACCTTCTGCCCGTTGTTGATGAAAGTGGAGGATGCGCTGGGTTTGAACTTGGCGTGGTTTCCTGCGGGAGAGACGAAGCAACAGAGCTGCTGGGGGTGCTGTTGCTGTGGGGCTCACCGCCGCTGGGGGGACAGATGGCGAGGGGCTGCGGGACACCCACCGCATGCCGGCGTGTTGCAGAGCGTGGAGGGCACCCACAGGTTGGAGGAGCCGGTGTCGAAGAGCACCAGGAACTTCTGCGGGGGGGTCCCGATGCTGATCTCCCCGAAGTAGGAGGACTGCGGACAGAGCTGGGTTACGTCATGGGACGGGGCTCAGCTCCGCCTCCCCACCGTGCGCCACGTCCCGGCGCCCTGCGGCAGTGCTGCGGATCCCCTCACTCTTACAGCGATAAGATGGGAAAGGGGCTGAGCGACCTCCTCCCAGATGAAGTGCTATTAGGCGTTTCTTGTGTCCCATATAGAAAACCACAGCCTTTCAGGCAGCTGGGGGAAAGCTTTGCTAAACTCTGACCCAAGAGCTTAAAAAAAGTCTGTTCCACTCTCGGAGGCCCAGGGCAAACAGATCGTTCTGACAGCAGGAAGGGGGCAGGGGGAGCAGTGAGAGAACTCACATCCAGGTGGGAGGCCATCGGCTCGTACACAACGTTGTTCTTGCTGAAGTTATATTTCTTAACTGGATCGTGCTTAATTTTCTTCAGGTATTCCTCCAGCACTCCTGCCTCCCTCATTTTCTCCCGTATGGACTTGCCTTTCTTCAACTTGATCCTGCGCAGAGGGGGTGGAGGGGAGAAAAACAAAAAGCAAACCAAAGAAAGCAGGAAATGAGGTGATTTGGGAATTTTCAGATGTCCTCTCCTTTGGGTTTCCTTGCATCCTGCCGTGCTGCAAGCCATCTGCACAGCATCTCTGGGCCGAGGGCAAAGCCCAGGCTGCCGCTGGCATGGCTACGATGGGTTCTGGAGATGCACGTGGCCAGGTGCACCGAGAACCACATCCCCGAGCAGTGCTCAGGTGCAGCACACACATGTGATGAACGCAGCCGGCCTCTGCTCCCCGAGCTCCCCCCAGCCCTGTGCTGCTCCAGCACACCCACCTCACCAGCCCCTCTGTGAGCTGCAGGCACAGCACGGCCAGCACGAGGCACTTCATGGTGCGGCCGGTGGCCATGGTGCACCCGTCTGGAGAGTGCAACAGCAGGCTGAGCCGCCTGGCCTGGCTGCCTTTATACTGGCACGCACTGACCGCCTTATCTGCGTGCCTCTGTTTTCCATTACCGGCGAGTGTAACCCTGGCTTGAAGGGTTTCTTTGTATTTTGGACCACGAGGAACTTGAGAAGTTTTTGTCATTAGTGGGGCACCCGGATGGGAACAGAGCACCTCGCACCTTCCACAGCCAAATCAAAGTGCGGCCACTCGATAAGGGCCGCCCTTATCACAGTGGGGAGAGGAGTTATCGCACTGCCAGCACGCTGCACGGCTATCTGGATCCTTCCAAATTGCTTCAACCTTTCCCAAAACAAAGGCTCTCACAGCTCACGGTGCAGGATGGAAACTGGCTTGCAGGAAGACCCAGCGCCGTGAGGACGTTGAGGCCTGAAGGAGAAATGGGCGCTGAGGCTGAGACTAAAAAACCCTTCCATACTTTGCTCGGTGCCATTGCTGCAGACGTGCCTGCAGCGCCTGCCCAGCAGCCATTCATAGAAGGCCTGGGGTCAGAAGGGGAGATCCCTGAGTTCCAACCCCCGGCCCACCCCACAGCACCCTGCACACCATAGGGGCTCATTGCTGCCCCCAGTAGCTGCTGCCTACCCAGCACCGCTGTCACTGCACTCATCCCACACTGCAGCTTTGCACATCTTGTGCTCTCTTGGGAGCGCCAGGTAGTGTGTGTCCTTTGCTGGATACTGAGTATAATAAAGCAATTATCTTGTTTGCTAGCAGGATTGATAGAAAGATCAACTTATTAAGATTGGATAAAAGGCAAATTCTGGCTGAAAGCAAAGAACAGTTATCAAAACGTCAACATACCGCGTGTTATCTGCAGGTCTCCAGGGGACTCAGGCTTGCCAAAAGACAAAGGAATAAGATGCCCTCTACAGCACATGCAAACATGCTACTTTTGTTTCCTTTTGACCCCCCAAAAGTTAAACAGCATCTGTTTGCTAAGTCTTAGTCCAACAGGAAATGGGGAATTCCACTCTCTGCCATCAGAGATGGCGCATCCATGTAGGGGCAGAGCTCACCTGCACTGCTGGGCATGGGCACGTGTTGGGGCTGGGCTCTGGGCACGTCCTGCTGCTCCTGTTGCACCAACAGACCAAGCAGCTCTCAGGAGAGCACTGCATCAGGCTGCAAACGGCTCTGGAGTCCAGCCTCTGCATTCCCAAAGAGCAGAGGCATTCCCAAAGACATCGCAGTCACCTCTGATTTCTTGGTCTGCTCTAGGCTTTTCCCACCTGTGGCAAAAAGCACGGAGAGGTGACTGGTCCCAGTACCAGGGCAACCGGCCACCCCCTCTCCTGGACCTGTTGGACACAAGATACTGTGATATAACCTCAGCAAATGGGAGCACGGAACAAAGGGAGCGTGAGCACAGGGCTGCTCAAACAAGCACTGTGCCAGCTGGAACCTCTCCCGAAGGCGCAGACCTCCACCTCCCAGACACCGAGCGGAGATCTGGGCAAAGCCCGCCTTCCACATCCCATGGGCTTGTGCTGGGAAACGTGTAGCCAGAGAGGGCAGGGATATCAGACCTGTGGAATGAGGAATGATGGAGCATTTGGAGCCTGAGATGTTTGCCTAGCACTTGGCTGCTTCCAAGCATTATTTTAGCTGCACAACACCCTTGTGTGTGGTTGGATGTTGAGTTTGCTCCTGCCATAAATGGACTACCTGCAGCAAGCCTGGCTGTGTCCTCTGCTCTTACCCCCTCACTTTTATTATGTAGGTATTATGAAGAGGTAATATTTTCAGCTTCATTCGGTTTCATTTGTACCAAAAAAAGAAAAAGAAAAAAGAAAAAAAAAAGGAACATACAGACTGTGAAATAAAAAAACAGACTACATATGCTTAATCTTATTTTCACTGCTTTTATTTCTCCACAGTATAGTCTGGAAAGAAACCCATCTTCAATGCAAAGATTTCTCAAGAGAAGGGATCTGGGCTCTGCGGGGATGGAGATGCCCCAATGCACAGAGCTGTGGCACGGCACTGAGGCTGCCTACACAGCAGTGGCAAAGCCCACGCGGTTGTTGCCCATGTCATAGATGGAGTAGTAGACCCTCAGGAAGACATCTCCAAGAATCCAGAGGGGCTGCCCAGTCTCGGAGGGCAGGTAGGTGGATTCAATCCCAACAGTGCAGTAGCCGCTGTTGCTCTGTCAAGAAGGAATAACTGTGTTGGAAAGCTCTGGCTGCACAACTCCAGCCGGCACCCTCCAGCTGTCCCCCAGCCCAAAGTGCCCCCGGCTGCTCTCCCTCAGGTTCTCATGCTGTACCTGGAGCATGTAGGCAGAGGGAGGCAGGGGGAAGCTGTTGCCGCTGATGACGAAGGTGAGGGTGGGCATGTACTCGATGTTGCTGCAGCTTGCCACGTACTGGGGAAAGAGAAACCACCACAGGTTTGTGCCTGGTGAGTTCTGTCAGTGATCCATGAACCCAGACATGCACACTTTACTAGATCCATCATTTCCTCTGCAGGGATTAGAGCAAAGCCTCAAGGATGTGGTTTAGTGGGGCACTGGTGGTAGGCAGGCAGCTGGACTGGATCGTCTTGGAGGATTTTTCCAACCTCAGTCATTCTCTGAAACTGGATTTCCAGTGCTCCTCCAACCCAAGTGCTTGACAGCAACTGCTCACCCACGATAGATGCATCTCCCGCCTCTTCCCCCTCATTTTCCCAGCCCACTCTCCCTACCTGGCCGTTGCTATCAGCTTGAGCTCCAATGTACTGCATCAGCTTGCTGAAGACCTGGTTGGGAACGGTGAGGAGGGAGGTCCCCGTATCGACGATCCCCTGGCAGCCCTGGCTGCACCAGCCACTGTTCTGCCCACCAACAGTGAAGCTACGGGTAGAGAAAACAGGCAGCTCATGAAACTCCCTGCTGCTGCAGGAGGAACACAGGGACATGGTATGAGGAATGTTCTCTACAGTTATACATCAACATTGACAAGAATAGCCCTCAGAGCCCAGAAAGCCTGAGATTTGGGATCCCTGAAGCCACCAGAGGTGACAGAAAGATTCCTCCTATGGCTGCAGATCTAAGAACAACCAGAGCTGGTGTGGAGGAAGCTGGAGAAAGCAACACTTTACTCTTCGATCCCGATCTGCCAGTAGGTGGTCTGGACGACAGGAGTCCAGAAGATCTGCCCCGTGTACAGGTTGGGGTTGACGCCGCCGAGGATGAGCTCACCACCTTGGCTGCCTTCCTGCCTGCGGGAGGAAGGCACAAGTGATAGAATCATAGAATCATGGAGTGTCGGAGTTGGAACGGACCTCTAAAGGCCATTCGGTCCCATGGCCTGCAGTGCACAGGGACACCCACAGCTCCATCAGTGCTCACAGCCCCATCCCTGCTCTTGGGGGTCTCTGGGGATGGGACATCACCATGGGCAGCCCGTGCAGCGCCTCACCGCCCTGACTGCAGAAGACTTTGCTCTTATATCCAACCTAAACCTCCTCTCTTTCAGTTTGAAACCATTTCCCCTCGTCCTATCACACAGACCCTGCTATAGAGTCTGACCTCTCCTTCTTACAGCCCCTTTAGATACTGAAGGTCACACTCATGGGTATCAGTAGAAATCAGCAGCTACCAGTACCAGCCAGCATGCCAGTAAGTAGAAGGGGTGGGGCAAACAGGAAAGGAGGAAGGAAGCATCAGCTGATGGGCTCTCATGAAGGTTTAAACAAGAAAAATAACAGAATATCCTTGGGAAGCACAAAGGCAGCACAAGGTGGAAGGAAGAACAGGAGCATCCCTACCCGCTCAGGTAGAAGCTGAAGATGGGGGAGTCCAGCAGGTTTTCCTGCAGCATTTTCTGCATCACAGTGGTGGCTCCACCAGCAGAGATGGCAGGGAAGGCCAACCCCAGGATGCCATCGAAGGGAGAGTACAGAAAGTTGGTGCCAGGCTCCGTCTCGCTCAGGCCGAACTCCTGGTTTGTGATGGAGATGCCCTGGATCTAGGGATGAGGAAAAGAGGCAGAGCTGCTCTGAGAGCACAGCATGGAGCACTGTGACCCACAGGCACAGTAGGCCATGCAGTGGGGCACCAAGCCAACACGGGGCTCCATCCTGCAGCTGTAAGTGTACATCAGAACAGGGGACTAAGTTAGAGCCAAGAACAAAGTTCCCCTGATTTGCTCCTAAGGGAACACCCCCAGCCTCCAGAAGTGATCAGCCCATGTTTTTCTAACTGCGTATCCTCGGCTCAAGGCTGCAGGGCAAAGTTGGGGCACCCCTCACTCCCCCCATCTGCAGTGTCACTCACTGTCACTGTGTCAAAGCCAAAGATGCCGGTGAGGCTGCCGGATCCATACTGCAGGGAGAAGAACTCATTCTGAGTTGAAAATGTGGAGGACTCATTGGGGTTGAACTCGTTGTGGTTGGCTAGATTGGAAAAACAAAGCAGAAGAGTGATTGTTCCATCGAGGGGCACTCAACCAGAGGCTGAGTGGCAAGAGAGGTTCAGGGCAAGCAACAGGGACCTGCAATCAAAGCACACATGTGGGCTGCTTTTGATAAAACAGGTGGTAATCATTGCTTGTGGTAAATACAACAGTGGCAGCCAGAAGTCCCCCTGCTGCCCAGGACCCCCCTTCCTGCTCAGGTGCTCACCGCAGGCCTGGCTCTGGCAGAGCGTGGAGGGCACCCACAGGTTGGAGGAGCCGGTGTCGAAGAGCACCAGGAAGTTCTGCGGGGGGGTCCCGATGCTGATCTCCCCATAATAGGACATCTGGAGGAAAGGGAATAATTTTTACCCCATGCAACTCCTCAGGCGTGCATGCTAAATCTCAGCCCATGCAGCCACAGGACCGCAGGTTTCCAGGGGCTGCAGGGTTTGCCAGATTCCTGCTGTCTGTTTCCAACAGCACTGTGCACTGTGCCCTGAACACGGCATTGCTCTCTGCTGCTTCTCCCACCAGTGCAGGCACGGCACAGCAGCTGTGTTTACAAGCAGCACAGAGGCACGCGGACCCTTCCTGCAGTGCCACTGTCAGTGTATTTCCAAAACAGAGTACACAGCTGAGCAGCTCCATCAGCACTCACACAAATACCCCTCTTTTCCTGCACGACCACAAGAACAGCTCCTGAAATGAACCACTGGTTCAAGGTCTTACACTGAGCTTCCCAGACTTCTCTATTCACGTCTCCTTTTCCCCCCACTGTTCCCAAGGGATGGATACTCACATCCATGCTGTTCGCCAGGGGCTCATAGGCAGTGGCAAAGTTGCTGAAGAACTTGTAAGCAGGATCATAGTAGTGGTGATTGGCCAGGTAGTCGTGGAGCACGCCGCTCTCCTTCATCGCCTCCCTGATGGACTTGCCCTTCTTCAGAGGAACCCTGCAGGCAACGAGCAGCAGCCATCAGCTCAGTGTGACAGGAAGCAAGTTTCCATCACAATCCCTCGTTTTTGCTCTCCGTTGGTCTTTTTTCCCTCCCTCCCTGCCCTGCTTGATGCTCACCTGCATGCAGGCCCCAGTTAAAACCCAGTGCTCCCAGTGCACGTTTCACATTGCCGCCCTCCCGACTTGCCACTATCCCAGGGGCAGCCAAACCCTCCCCACTCACCGCAGCAGCCCCTCGCAGAGGTGCAGGCACAGCACGGTGAGGATCAGCCACTTCATGGTGAGCTGCTCTCGCAGGCCGTTCCAGTAGACCTCCAGAACTCTACCTGCACCCTTATATACCCCACCATGGCCCCTACTGCCTCCACCAGTGCCATGCACGCAGCCAAGGGTTATCACTGCAGCCCAAAAATTCCCCCGCGGTGCTAAGGAATATCTTGGAAACTCTAAAGTCAAATATCAGCAGCAAACACCCATCTGTTTGCAAGCTATTCCTTGAAAGAAAAAGAAACAGCTGATAAGAGCGACCCTGTAAAATTAAGCAAAAGTCCTAAGAGTCGAGTTCACTGCTGCCCAACTTCTTTTTGACTTGATAGGGTTATCAAAGACTCCCTTGAAAGAAGGGGAAAAGATTTCATTGTGTTTTCCAGGAATATGATGGAAAGAATAACACGGGTTATCAAGAGCTCTGTTATCTCCCGTTTCCATTCCAGTTCTTACCTCTTGCATTTTTGAAAGTCCCAGAATGACCCTGGGGGAAGGAAACACAAGGGCTTGGGTTGGAAAGACACTGCACGCCAAGGCACGCTCCCTTTGGAAGGTGCACATGGCTCCATTGACTGCTCTGAGATGCACTGCTGCTGGGAAGGGCTGTCAGGAGGGACTTTCAAAAGGCAAAGCATTAAACTGCCCCTGTGCACAGTGAGATCATAGCAGCTGGAAAAGCAGGCAGATCCACTCCATACAGAGCGATGGCAGAATCCATGGGATGGGCCAACAGGGTTTGTACCCTAAGAGGTCTCATAGAAGGGCCAGTGGTTCAGAAACTCAGCTGCCACGTTTACCTCTCCCTCCTTCAGAGGTGCAGGGGCTCAAGGAAAAGGAACACAGCCACGCAGAGCTGTTGGCATCATTGGTTCTCTCCCCCTCAGCTGCACAATTTAGGAACACACTCCATGGCAAACATTGCGTGTTCTGCCTTACTATCAGAAGTACAAAATATCTTTCAGCTCAAATGTAATCTTATCATCGAGGTCTGGCTTCACCCCTTGGCCAAAACAAGAGGAACAGAAACAATGGGATTGACCGGGGACGCCAAGGGACAACATTTCCATATGGACTGGATTGGCTTTTTATGGAACCTATATCTCACCTTCAGAGTCTGTAAGGACGAGACAACGGACCCAGTGTCTGCTCATGGTGGAGGTGCACAATTTACTGCCACCTGCAAAAAAACCCAACTGTGCTCTAGAAAAGAGGCTGGCTGCTGGTGGCGCCATCTCCAGGGACAGCTCAGAGGTAATTCCCCCCTTTCAACCGTGACCATGTTCAATAATTGCCACTTTGTCTCTTTCTTCTTTCCTGAAGGCTCAAGGTCATCTGGATTTAAAAAACAGCAAACTCAGAGCATCTTCAAATTAGAGTTTCTAATACCTAATGCTTGTGGGTCCTTGTTTGTTTGCAGTAAGAGAAAGGAGCAAGTGTACAACTCAGAACAGCAGGTTTGGCAGCAGTAGCAGGGGTTACTTAGGAGTTATGCACAGCTGGTAAGATGTCCAAACCGCCCAAATTCAGGAGAAAGCTGAAGATCCTCAAGGTGAAAGCAGCCTGATGCAATGTGCCCAGCACAAGGACACTGCTTGGGGGAAGGCAGCAAGCACTGCTCCAGTGGCGCATGAGGCCCACAGGGAAGTCCAGCTTCACACCATCCCACGCCCCTCCCCTGAGCCTTTAATTTTAGATAAAAAGCAAAGCCTACTTGGAACTGCGTCACTTCTTCTCCCCGCAACACACAAAGGAAGACACAAGCCCTGTATCGTCACCGTATTCCATTTATTCAGTATACACTCGTAGTGCGCGTTAACAAGACACGAGCTCCTCAGTCACACAGCGCTATTGTTCTTCACCTGCGAGGTTACACCTGGGTGAAACACAGAGGCTGACTGACACCACGAGGCAGCCTGCAGAAGCGCGATGCAGGGAGGGCGGCCCCCTGGGCACAGCAGCCCCATCCCCAGCGGCCGCGGCCCGAAGCACCGCCGCTTTTCTGCCGTGTCAGAATTGCTCAGAGGCAGCAGGACGAGTCGCAGAGAGGGGAAGCGCAGAGGAGAGCTCGAGAGATCGCAGATGCACCTGGGCCTCCCGACTTCATCATCACATCCAGCAATGGAAGAAAAACAAATGAGTTCCTTCTTGAGAATTTGCTTTTCTCTACGCCTCGGCCTGTGGCTGCCAACTTCAAAGCTCTCCAGACTTGCCCTAATGTATTCACCTCTGGTCCTGTTTGGGAACGGGAACCTAAACCTGTTCTGCTGCCTGAGCACGGCGCTTCAGGAGGAGCCAGGCTGCGGGGGAAGTCAAGCTTCAGCCCCCCAAGCTGAGTTTGGGCCTGAGGGTTGGAACCTGATGACCCACGGGGTCCCTTCCAGCCCAAGCCATTTTACGATTCTATATGAGGCAATGCATTCATTAACAACTGCTCGTTAATGACGCTTCACAGTCGAGATACAACCCGAGAAAGGCTAAGCAGCACAACACGGAGGGACAGAAGAACGACTTTGAGAGCAAACAGCTGAGAACGTACAGAAGTGGTGCTGAGCCCTGACAGAGAGCTCCCACTCGTATCTCAAGAGCATCGCACCAACGCTTTGGTGCCTCTTCCCCCATTTTGCCACAGTGACACTGAGGCACAGAGAAAGGACACCCAGCGCCCATAGGCACGGAGCAGAACCAGAGCTGGGAACACTGCTGGGATGGGGCTCTGGGGCTCGGAGGGATGCAACCAGAAACACGGACAGCAGGAGCTGAAGCTGGGTTTGGGCTTCCTCACAGCAACCAGCATGGCTTGGGTAAGAAAAACAACACATAGTGCTTCGGTAACATCTGGGACATTCAAAGCTCTTTGCAAAAATATTGGTCTTTTAATCCTCAGCCTCTCCTTTGCCACACTCTCTCTGTAAGGCAAAAACAGCTCACAAATAACCAAGCGCCTTCCCTAGGGGAAAAAGCAGGCACGTTAAACGGGTTAGAATTAAAAAAAAATAAATAAATAAACCCTCCCATGATAAAAGACAGCTGAGAGCCACGAGAAGCTGTTCCTACCGACCGAGTCTGGGGAGAGGGATGGGCAGAAGATCTGGGGTACGCAGTCCCCAGGGAAGAAATATCAGGGGAGAAATCTGCTCGGTTCACTCAAAACTCAAACGGGAACCACTCAGCCCTGGGTGAATCCCTCAATCTCTAAACCTCAGAAGTGTTTATGGACGCAAGCACAGATTCTAGGCATGGTGCCCTGGGGAGGCCGTCCTTGCAGCATGGCTGGACCACGGGATGCTCATCAGCTGCCCCGGGTGAAGTTTCCCATCCAGCAGGCACTCACACACCTGTCAGTGTGCACTCATTGAGAAAGCCCAGCAAACTTGCATATAAGGCTCAAAGCAAGATCTGCCAGACCCACCTCTGCAAAGTGCTGCACAGGTACAACATAATTCATACAGGTGATTTTTAACCGAAAGAAACGAGTGAGAAGGAAGGAGCCCGCAGGGTTCTGAGGAGGACTCTGTGCCGCCCACCACGCACATCCCAGCACGGAAGGAACGAGACAGAGCCAACCCGCACCTCAACCTCCCGCTGGTTTCTCCTCCTGCAGCTGCTGCAGCTCTGACCACTAGAGGAAGCTGCGACACTGGAGAGCCGGTGGAAATGTTGGGGCGAGAGCCCAGACAGGGACATTGCCGGAGCCGTGTTCAAACTGCTCGGGTCTGTTCCTGCACTTTGCAAAACAGGGGGTTCAGAAGGTAAGAAAGAGTACCGGTTATTTAAAGAGGACGTTGTGAAGTTTCTCACAAAAGCAAGAAAAACACAGAAAATCACTTGTGAGCCTGCAGCTCCCAGCTCCTGGTCAGGGCTGCATGCTGAGGGGCACAGAGCAGCAAGGCTGGATGCTCTCAGAGCAGCAAGTGCAGCAGCAGCAGACATCAGCTCTTCCTTAAAAACAAGACAAGGGAGTTATTTTTCTCCTTTGGACAGGCACAGCAATGCAGGGAGTGCTGTAATGCAGCCCCTGTGTGCGTGCCCTCCTCACCTCTCCTGCTTTTGATATCCCAGCGAGGTTTGGGGGCTCCAAAGTTGCTGGGGGAGGAAAGGAAGGCCCAGAGCAGCCGTGAGCCGTATTTTGGAGCACACGTGTCTCAGAGCCCAGCAGCACACCCCTTATTGCACCAATCCACAGCCCTGGCCCTGTCACCTTGCTCCACAGAAGTCTAAAATGTTCATCCTTTGTCACTTGTCTGGTAGGAGCACTTGGCATAGCATTTCTCACTGGGCTGTGATGCTGCAAATGCAGGTTCCTACTGGAACCCGGCTCCTCCTGGTGCTGCTGGAGCCACGGCAGGGCATGAACTTACAGAGCAAGAGCTCTGTACTTACACAGTTTTGTTAAAGCTTTATACAGTTCACTTTTTTTTTTTTAATGTATACATAAACAATTTCTTCTCTCGCTTCTCCAAATGAAAGTTAAGAGACAGATTTTAGGGGGATGCCCATTTTCCTTCAAAGAAAGTCATTTGGCATAATACAAAAACATATCCCTTGGGTTTCCTTTCTGTTACAAATCACGTAAAAGTTGGCACAGAGAAAAGAATGGACAAGAAGAACTTCCCCAAAAAGGGAACAGTCACTGAATTTAACCATATGGGGCACTTTGGATTCATAGTGCAACAAACAGCAAGTTGAGGATCTGCAGACACAGGTATGGCTCTGTGCACACTTCTGTTGCTTTTCCAGCTGCGTGGCACTGCCCTTCCTCCCAAAAGTGCCACCTTTCAGTACAACATCAGGGCAGCACTTAGAAAAACATCAAAACTATGGAAATGGGGTCTGTGCAGCTCCAAAGCAGGCGATGACTGCGTGCTGTCCTCCTTCACAGCAGCTGCTCACCGACCTCCATGCTGGAAGGAGGAGGGCACAGCCGAGATGGGCAGTGGGACAACCTGCTGGGTGCTGGGCCTCTCCGCTCACATCCCAGGGAGAAGAACAGAAAGCAGAAAGGTGGGACTCCAAAGCGACTCCGGAGCACTTCTGTCTCACAGATACGGCCCAAGGAGGCAAAAAGTAATGCGGGTGAAGCTGCAGCACGTCACCACGCAGAGGGGTGTGGAGGCATGCCCTGCACCAGCAGAGAGCCGACACAGGGCCTCACGTGGAGGCCTGACAGCTCAGCTTCAGCGTCAACAGAAAACTCCACATCAAAGGCCACACATTTACGGAAATTTAGCCCTTCCCAAGTCTGTAGCTGTAGGAAACAAATGACACATTCGCTCTAAACAGGATCAAATATTTCTCATGGACCTGGCCAGGAACGTGGGTGCAGGCAACCACTTTGATAGCGCTCCAAGCCCGGCCACCTCACACCCACCCACCCTCTCTGCAACAGCAAATCCCAGTTAAAAAACACTGAATCACAGCTGCTCTTTTCACTGACGGCAGCCCTACAACGCCAGCAGCTCTGCTCAGACAGAGGGCACATGAGCACACGTGTCGCGCTGGCACCACTTTTGGCCATCTCCACCGGGATGCAAAAAGAACATTTAATAAATAAATCAGTAAACAAATCAACAGTGTTTCTGAACAGCCCCCTCCCAGAAATCAAAACTGGGTACGGTACAATTGAAGGCTTCTATACCCAACCTACAGCCCCTCACACTTGCAGTCTGCCCCTCCTCTTTATAAGCAAAGTATCTTGGGGATATGAGGTTTCTGTGATCACAGTGTTTGTGTCCATGGCTGTCTGTCCTCTTCTATTAGTTTCTAGAGCTGCCCAATCTAAATCGAATCTAAGAAAGGGACAGAAGTATGGGAAGCTTCTACGAGCTTCAAAAAAATAGTGCAGAAGAAGAAAGGAGCAAATTGAGGAGGGAAAGACTGCAGCATGAGCTTCCATGCCACTAGGGACCAGAGAAATCACAAGGCAAAAACTGACTCTGGGGCAGTGAGATGCAGTCAGGTCTCCCCAGAGAAGATCCCAGGCTGCTGGCACTGCTCACGGAGCAGCAGGAATCCAGGAGGGTCAGCCCTGTTGGAGGTGGTATCCATGCAGTGCCAGCGCTACCGTGGGCACCCTCTGCCCCCCTTGCCAGAAAGACAGTGGAACTTCCAGATGGCGTCTTTAAACACCCCATAAGGCTTTATAAAACAAACTGCACAGGAGATGGAGAGGGCAAGACAGACAGATAGAGCAGCGTGAACACCAGCTGTAAGAGCCATCCCATAACACCAGGCAATGGGGCAAACGGGGAAGCAGAAGGCAATGGTGGATGGAAGCCACACCGGGCAACACGCTGAAGGGTGGGTACCAAAGCACAGCGCAGTGCTCGCACCGGGTGCCCTTACAGAGGCAGGTCGGTGCTGTTGTGTCGAGTTTTCCGTGAGGTCCCATCGTCCCTGGGCCGGGCCCGCTGCAGATTGGACATGGCTGCTGTCTTTTTGAGGTCAATCACCGCGTAGGAATCCGTCCGGGGCGCTTCGTGGGAGGCAGCCGGGCGGGCGCGGGAGGCCGGGGTGTTGGGACGGCCCTTGTGAGGCTCAGCCTCCAGCTCCACCTGGATGTAGTTGAGCTGCCGCGGCTGCTCCAGCCGGGGCCGGGGGAAGTCAAAGCTGAAGACGCTGGGCACGCAGCCGCGCTGGGGTTTGGGCAGGAAGGCGCCGCGCCGAAGGCTGCTGCCCCCGTGCAGCGCGGTGCTCTCTGAGTTCACGTAGTTCTGCAGAGGATCCTCTTCTCCAGCCTCGGGACAGCCGTCGGGAGAAGGCGTCAGGGCGTCCCCAGCGTCCTCCTCGCCCCGGCGGAGCGGCTGGCACTCCCACACCGGGGGCAGCGCCGGCAAGTTCTCGTAGTGCAGCAATGCAGCTCTCCGATGGGAGCAGCCGGAGGAGCCCTTGTCCTCGTGGGGGACCTTCACGCGCCCGGCCCGGCAGAGGGACGAGGTGCCGGGGGGCAGCAAGCCATTGAGGTTCTCGTAGACGCACTGGGGCGCAGGGCACTCATCCTCGCGCTCGTTGTTGTTGCTGGGAGCACAGAAGTGCGTCCTGCACTCCCGGTGGTGCCGACTGATGCGCCTGTAGTTGGGCGCGGGACCCAACACAAACTTCACCTCCCCGGGCTGCAGGAAGACCTGGGGATTGCGGTCTTCGAGGGAGCAGCTGCGTTTCCTATGGGGGAAAGGAGGGTGGACTTCAGGCAAGGAGTGCATACAATGTTGGCCCCTCAGCTCCTGATCACCACTGGCTGTGTTCACGTAGGTGTGGGACTGCAAGGAGAGAAGCAGAGGGACAGTGAAAGGAGAAGCAGGAGCAAAGCAGCTGTCAGCAGCTGAGAAACCAACAGGAAAGACTGATGAAGCCGGAGATGAAAGAGTTTCAGAAGTTGAAAAGGTTTTGGGAAGCAAAACTCAAAAGACATTTCTGGATTTGTGGGCTGATGGAGGAGGAAAAAAAAAAAAGGAGTCCAACTGCAGAAGGAACGGATAATCTATCTCACATTTGATGCATATGGCACAGAACAAAAACCAAAGCCACCTGCAAAGTATTTTCTTGAGCTCCTTAAACTTGATGCATTGCAGCGCTCACACCCGCACAGGCTTGCCTGACAATGGGTGAGATAAGATGGATTATGTCAGGAAAACCTCAATTCTACAACCGAGAACAAAGAGCTGAACATCAAAAATAAAAATAAAAGGAGTCTGAATTTGGCTACGCATCTGCAGATCAGATTAGGGGATGCAATAGCAGCTGATAAGGCAATATGACAGACTCGCAGTTAAGCGCCACTGTCAAAGAAATTCAAGAGAATGCTACAGGATCACAGCATCACAGGATGGTTGGTTAGAAGGGTCCCTAAAGACCCCCTGCTGTAGGCTGGGTGCCCCCATCAATCAGGATGCTCAGGGTCCCACCCAGCCTGGCCCTGCCTGCCTCCATGGAGGGGGCACCCACAGCCCTCTGGGCAGCAGTGCCACTGCTTCAGCGTTCTCTGAGCAAAGAATTTCCCCCAGCAGCTAATTTGTATTTCACCTCTTCCAGTTTAAAACTGTTCTCCTTTGTCCTGTCACTGTCTGCCACATAGAAGGTCAGTTCCCCTACTGTTCATAATCTCCCCTCAAGTACTGGAAGGCCCAAAACCTTCTCTTCTCCAGGCTGAACAAGCCCAGCTCCCTCAACCTTTCTTCACAGCAGAGGTGCTCCAGACCCTGAGCATCTCCACAGCCCTCCCCCAGCAGCCCCATGTCTTTCTTGTGCCAGGAGCCCCAGGCCTGGACGCAGTACTCCAGATGGAGCCTCACGAGGGCAAAGCAGAGGGGGAAAACCCCTTCCTCTCCCTGCTGCCACCCCTCTGTTTGATGCAGCCCAAGAGCAGTTGGCCTTCAGGCAGCAAGTGCACACTTCTGGCTCGTGTGCAGCTTTTTGTCCATCAGGACCTTCAGGTTCTTCTCCACAAGGCTGCTCTCAAAGCATTCTTCTCCCAGGCTGTACTCATATCTGGGACTGCCCCAACCCAGGTGCAACACTTTGCACTCGGCCTTGTTAGACTTCATTAGGTTCATGCGGGCCCACTTCTAAAGCTTGTCCAGGTCCCTCCTCATGGCCCCCTTCCCCCTGTCACATTAACTGCACCACCCAGGGATCAAGGAAACCAAATCACTCCACCTAAATAGAGTGCCTGTTTTAGGGAAGCATCAGAGCTGAAATCCCCAAGACCAAAATGAAGCAAAGAGAAGAGTGGCAAAGGTACAAGGATCTCCTGAGCTTTGCTGGAGTACGAGAAACCTTGAATTGCACGGAGCTGCTAGCAAATCAAACTTGTTGTTCATTGCTTGGAAACAGGAGCATTGAGGACATTTGTGTTTACCTGATCGTCAGGCCCAATGAGGGCATGAGTGGAGTCTTCACCCACAGAGGAATGCCTCAGGCTGCTCATGGAGGGGTGGCGGGCTGCCAAGTATGACAGGCTTTCTCCAGGGAAACTGTGGAATCCATTGGCAAATCCTGGGACGCTGTACCCCAGACCTGGGAGAGAATTACAACACAGCATTGGTCCGGTGCAAAAAACAGCAGACTGCATTTCCACAGTGAGCTGGTCCCCAAACTGCACCCTGCAAGTCAGAATCAGCTTGTCTGGAGAAGATTCCTATCACAAAGTGCCTCATATAAATACAAGGGCTAGGCCCTCCTGTTTACATTTATTTGACTCCTAATGGAGGCAGGAATTGAGCAAACCTGAATTCTTCCAGACGTGGTTTCCTTTGGGAACCACCTGACCCCTGTAGGTGCCGCTTTAAAAGGCCTTTTGGCAGAGCTCCAGGTGAACACGGGCTGAAGGGTGACAAGCCAGTTGACTACTGAAGGGCTTTTTTGTTGCTGTTGCCTTGGAAACAAAATACCACACTGCAGACAAGTGGGGCCTTAAAATAAACACGCTGTACGGGGCTCACGCAGGCATAAAGACACAGGTCAGCAGCAAGGCAGCATTCGGGAAATATCTGTGGCCTGCGAAGGGCAGTTTTACACGAGCTGCAGCAGGCATTGCCACATGGGCTGAGGGAAACTTACTGGTGGGGGCCTGGGGGGTGCGGGAGTGCTCCCTCTCTGTAGGGTGACTGTTCCTGGTGATGACAACAGGCTCCTCCACAACGTTGATGCTGTTACACTGCATCAGGTCCTGGAGCAGATTGAAGAGCTCCTCCGCTCTGGAACATTTGAAGGCAAAAATCCCTGCAGGGTAACGAGGAGGAGGATCAGAAAAGCAAGAAAGCAATTCTGGCTTTAACAAGGGGATATGTAATTCTGGGCTGTAAATGAACTGGCAGTTTTGATTTCTTTTATTGTGTTTAACATAATCAACCCCTGAAACTCACAGCCACATGAGAACAACTAACATCTGAGTGGATTATTGCATCAACATCACCACGCAGTGCCAAGACTGCCATCTGGCCCAGCAGTGCACCGCTGTAAAAACAGAGCACCCCAATTATCTTCTGACACTCAGCGCCGGACAAGCAGAGGTGTGAAAGATACAAGCGAACCGGTTTTGTTTTGTCTCTAATCTTCTATTTCAGCTCCCCTGGCACAGCACCCAGCTCTCACTGCCAGGGGAAAGGCTTTCCAGGGACTGGTGGGAGCTGAACTGGGCCCCGTGGGGTTTCTAGGCAAGGAGGAACAGGAGTGTCCTACTTCAGAAATGCACTGAGTTGAGCAGCGTCTCTCCAAGCAAGCAGCCCAAACCAGAGCTGGTACGTGCAGAGCTGAGCAATCCCACACTGCAGCACACACACACACACACACACGTGCACAAAAGCCATAGCAACGAGGATGGCATGGCAACAACAGTTGCTACTCCAAAAAATAACATTCAAAACATTCCAACCAAAACACAGCTAGATCTGCCTCGTCTAAGACAGCATCAGGAAGGAATCCTCCAAATGAAATTAACTGAGAAGACAAAAATCCCACAAGGAAGGGAGAAAACCCCTCACAGCAGTGTCACCCCACTGGCTTCTGTCTGCGTTACGACTGGCCAGCACGTGCCTGCAAAACGTGTTTAACACATGAGGAGCAAACAGCTCTGCTTTATCCATCACCCCTGCCTGGGCCTAAATAAAAAGCAAAACGCATTCACAGCAGAATTCTAATCCCTAACCCTGCATAAGGCAAAGCAGACAACCTATTCTCACTGCTGAAACACAATTCCAGAAGAGGAAAAGCCCAGATATTAAGAAGGATCATGCGGCACTACAGAGCAGCCCTTCACACAGACACAGTCGTGAAGAGTCCCTGTGGATGAGGAGGAGTCTACAAACACATCAACAGAATGAGGTAACAAACTCCTCCTGCTCCTGGGATGCACACACCAAGAAAGTGCTCAGCTAAAAGAGAGGCAGACTGGGAGGGGAGCTAACAGGCACCGTAGTAAAACCATTCCCAGTGCTGCTGATGACTTGGCACAGACCCCTGGGTGACTCACTTCCCTCTTCTGCGCACAGCATCCCCGTGCATAAAAATCAGTACAACACAAAACTCTTTTTCCTTTGCATTACAAAGTGCTGCCAGGCACAGAATAGAACGCGTGAAGCAGAAATAACACCAACCAGGCTGAGAGAATGTGCTGCAAAAACAAATCATGTTTAAGCCACTGCTGCTACTGATGTACGTTTGAAAGCTCTGAGGAATAACCAAATCTGAAGAGGGGTCTGGGAAAAGGCGCAGCTGATGTCCTTTCATTCATTCCCAGAGTTAAGGGAGGCTGAACAAAGCTCTAGTCCTGCAGAAGGTGCTTCCTAGCCGCCCATGAAACACAGCTGTGGGCTGCTCAGCGCCTGCTACCAAGCCTGGAGCTGGGCTGTAAGCAACACTGACATTAAATATGTTCCATCTGTTGGAAACTTCAGCTCAAGCATGGCTCATCAATTAACCTCCCAAGTGCCCAGGCACTAGCAAAATGAGACCGCTAGGCTCTGAGCCACAACAGCACTCTCATTAGCGTTTTAATTGAGATTATCAACTGCATGTGCATGCACACGGTGTTCAGGGGGCACCAGAGGCTGCATGAACAACCATCAGATGTTCGTCAGTTCATCAGATGCAGAAATGTGGGAAGCCACAAGCAGCAGCTCACTTCTGGGAGCAGAACCCCCAGGAAGCAGCCAGCACTCACCCTGCCCCGTGTGGCAGCGACGGCCGCTCTCGAAGGAGAAGAGGTTGGAGTCGTAGCCGTAGCGGCGCAGGCAGAGGTAGGGCCACCTGACTGCATCTCTCTTGTGAGTGTGCAAGATGAGCTCTGTCTGCGTCAGCTCCATCAGCCCAGCTCCCAGCTCGTTTCCTTCATCGTCCACGTTCGTTACCTGCAGAAGCCACGCGGCTCGCACCAGGAAGCTCGGTGCGTTTGGGAAAGGGGAAAAAAAAGCCCTCCCACAAAGATCTGGTAATTCCCATGGATTTCCCCTTCATTTCCTGAGATGCCTTTTTCTCAGCTGAGAATTCACTGCTGGCAGAAAGCGCAGAGCCGGCAGGCCTGGAGGCTTCGTGCTCAGCAGTTCAGCTGATGTGTCTCAGCACAGACACTGGAACACAGCCCTGAGCAATAAAAGGTTTCTCTCCAGTTCTCCATTTCCTTGCTCAGGCTGAATCTCAGCATAGAGGAAATTTCTACTGCAAATACAAAAATATCTGCAGCAGAGGGTACTTAATTAAAAACAAAACAAACAACAAAAAAAACCCAGCAACATATTTGCAAATCTTATCAAGTGAAAGACTTATCTGCAAGAGCAGCTCTTCTTTGCTTTCATGCCTAGAGCCCAACCCTCGCTGGGCTTTGCTAGCAGTGAATGTTGCCACAGATTCCATAATGGGGATAAAGTCCAATACTGACCTTAAATTTGGTGGGGTGGTTGTCTGGGATGTTGTCTCCACACAGACAACTGCAGCAGCTCCCCATGATGCCAGCAGGAGAGGTAATCCCTGGGGAAAGGACACAGAACAGAGAGCAATCAAATTTTCAGACCAGCTCCTCCCAGTCCCTGCCAGCATGCAGCATTTACAGCCCATACCCTCCTGGGTGCCCTGCATGCAGCTCAGCATGTTTGGAACTCAGACGTTTTTGGCCTCACAACGCCTTCCTTCCCCAGTGAATGGACTCTGTGCAATATAAGCCTAATTAAAAACAACAGCTTTCTTACCATTAGGCAACTGGTTGTTTGGGTTTTCGGAAGGCGAGAAAATCCCACTGCCACTGCCCCTCTGTCTGCTCTGGGACTTCACGGTGACCAGGTGTCAGAGCCACCGAGAGCACGAGGGAAACGGCCCCATCTTCCACCTGGCCAGAAAGTTACAGTTCAAGAGGTAAGAAAACAAAGAAGAATAAACACGTGGGGAAGGGATGGTGCTAGGAATGTCTCCTCACACGTCACGGGAAGGAAGAAGGCACACTTTGTGCTCCTCAATGAATATAGATCATAATTCCGCTCCCAAAATGCACAGCACACTTCAAGCAGACATCAGGGGTTCCGACGCACGCTTTGCAAGGCCTCTGCAAATTGTCCCTCTTTGCCATTTGTTCCCATTTTCTAGCAAATGTACAGCACTGAGATGAAAGAGCAGACACTGGAGATGGAAGCACGTGCATCCCAAAAGGCAGAGACCAGCAAGTGCTTTTAAAGACATAGCTTTGGAAAAAAACACATCTACAAAGCCTAAAACTAAGAGATGTTGATTTCTCAGCTTTGGGATTGTACCCAGGAGCGGATGGAAGGGCAGAGAGCAGTGAAGACTCAGGACATGTGACATCTGCTGCTCAGGGATGGGAAGATGTCTTCATTAAGGTCCTTGAGAGTCACAGCCCTATCAGCAACTGAACACAACCACCGATCTGTTTCAGACTTTGAAAACTAACAGATGCCAAGGAACACAAAAATTCAGCCACCTGCTTACAGTCAGTGAGTGCGAGCACCGAGCACGCAGGAATTACACACCCAGTAGTGAGAAATCAGGGCGACTCTGAATCAATCCCAACAGACCCACTCCCACTCCGGAGCACTGGGTTCAGCAGCAGGTGAACACGGGAAGACGTCACGCTCTGGCAAGAACAGCTGACAGCCTCTGCATCCAAGGCCTGACAGGTACCCAGCCTGGCACCACAGCAGCACATACAACAAAAAGGCTGTTGGAAATCTCCTGCTCTGCCACACCGGAATTCACCTCACCAGTCCCTCTGAGTCAAACAGTGACTCCTGGGGCCACATCCCTGCGCAGCTGCAGAGGCTCCCCTGTTTGGTTCTCGCATCAAGCCACAACCTACCGACCTTCCCTGCAGCTCCACGTCACCCTGTCTGAGCTCCGGCCCTTCAACACCTCTCTGCTGCATCCACATCTCGCAAAGTCCTCTAGTGGGGGAAGGCTTGGCGTGGGGCAGGCTGGAGCTGTCAGCTGCTGTCACCCAGCACATCTCCGCCGCTCTGCATCCCGGCACTGCGTGGTTTTATTCCTCACCGACCTTCAGCACCGATCGCCGATCTCCGATCTGCTGCCGACTCCTCAGGCCAGTTTCTGGGAGCTGCCATCCCATCAGTTCCCTCACGGAAACAAAAACCCCACAGAAAACACGTTATCCTTGCCCTCGTTCTTCTTCGTTCCCCTCTCTCTCCAGTGCTCCCTCTGCCCTGCGAGGGCTCTGGGATGGAGAGCCAGCACCTATCCTGAAAACTCACTGCAGCCAGCATGAAGGCGAGGAGAAAAAGCAGAGGGAGAACCTTGAAGGGGGGCTGTGGGGGCACCAGGCTCAGCCCTTCGCTCAGCCCCCCCCCTCCAAGCCCCGTAGGGCCCCACAGAAACACAGCGAGCACCGGAACCCGGCATGGGGATGGGGGGAACGGAAGGGGGGGGGCAACGGGGCAGAGGGGAAACGGAGGACAAAGTGGGAACTCGGGGAGGGCTAAGGGGTCGGGGGAGGGGTGCAGCGGGGGGCACGAAGCGGTTATTGAGGGGGGACACAAAGGGGTTTAATGGAGCGGGAGGACACGGGGGACCTGCGGGTGGGGCGAGGGGACGCCGCGGGAGAGGAGGGGACGCAGCACGGCGGGCAGCGGCATCGGAGCGGAGCGCTGCGCTGCGGGACGAGGCCCGGCCGTGGGTCGGTACCTGAGGCGCTGCCCGGCTCCGCCGTCCGGGAGCTGAGGCCCGGGCCCAGAGCTACGCGCCGGGCCCGGGCCCGGCCCCTGCCCGGCCCGCGGGCTCCGAGCTCCGGGTCGGGGACCGGGACCCGCCAGCGCCGCGTCCCCCAGCCCGGGCCGGGGCCCGCCGGGAGCAGCGAGTCCGCCGGCCGCAGCCTAGAGCGTCGCGCTGGGAGGACCCCGGGCGGGCGGGCACACGGCCGCCAGGGGGCGCGAGAGGTTCGCGGCGCCAAGACTGTGTGGGCGGGGCTGAAGGGAGGGGCGGGGTCACGTGAAGGGCGGGGTCACGTGGAGAGGCGGGGCCGAGAGAGCCGGGGTACGGGGGGGAGCGGGGGGCGCTATGGAGGGGGTCAGCAGCAGAAAAGGGTTCGGAAATAAAAGGACCGATGGATGGGGGGGGCTGCCGTGGCAACCGGAGGGGATGGGGGGGCTCAGAGGGGCCGGGAGCTGCGTGGACGTGTCGGTGGGGCTGGAGAAGTCGCTGCCCTCCCAGCACGCGCAGCCGGCGCTCGGGGGGCCCTGCGGTGCCCCCTGAACAGCTACTCCAGCCGCTGCCTCCTGCGCGACGCCCCGCCTGGCGGCCCGCCGTCTCCTTATCTGGACTTTACCCATCACCCCCCCCCGTGCAGCCGTGCTGAGGGTTGCGGGGCCCTGGGGAGCAAAGTCCTCGCCAGCGACCGAGCGGAGCGGAGCTGTGGCACTGAGGGCCCCCGGAGCGGGGCTGGGCCCTGTGGGGTCCCTGGGAGTCGCCACTGTGCGGCCCCACGGTGGGTGTCGGGGGGTGTGGGTGTGGGACCCCTGTAACCTCACACGCACGCTCCTCCTTCCCCAGCCCGGGGGATTTTTTGAGAAATCTCAAAAATCGGGGATACAAAACACGATAGGGCAGGAACCGGAGCGCTGCCCCAGCCCAGCTCGTACTCCGATTCCTGACCCGATGCCATCGCCGAAGCCGCGCTCAGTGGTTTTGGGAGGAAAGTAGGACATCCCGGCTGCCCTCCGGCTGAGAGCCCGGTGAGATCCCCGCGGAGGTTCCCCACCTCTCCGCTGGGGCGTAATGACACCTCCTCTCTTTTCATGAAGCTTCAGCTCTTTCTGATGTAGGGAGGAAAAATACATCGCGGCGGATCATAAAAGCCATCCAAACGCCGACCTGGGGCGAAGCGGGGCGTGGATGCTCGGAAAATGAGAGGTGGCAAGAGAACGCGATGCGATGGGAGCGCGTTCCCTGCAGGGTTAACCCTCCGCCAGCCCCTGCCCGTCCCCTCCCTGCTCCCTGCCATTGGCTGCCGCTGTGGGTTTAGGCTAACGAGCCTCTAATTGGGACCCCGGCTGACACGGCTCCAGTTTCCTGGGCAGGCAGATCGAAACAACAACAAAAAAAAAAAAAAGAAAAAAGAAAAAAGAAAAAAAAAGAAAGAAAAAGGAAAAAAAGGAGGGGGAAAAAACACAAATAACAACAACAAAGCAAAGGGAACACTGCCCCGGCTGCGTTTGGATATTGGATGTTTTCCTTTCGTTTTGCGAAGTCCGCTCGACTCATTGCTCCGACCCGACGGGACGGGACGGCACCGGGCAGGTAGGGGGGGTCCCGCGGGGCTGGGCGGGAGCTCAGCAACGGGGGGAAGCGGATGGTTTCCACGTCCGGGAATTGTTGCGGGGGAAAAGGAAGGGTGGAAAGCGGCGCGAGGGAGAGGGAGGTCGGCCGGTTCTTTGCGGGGAGGAATCGGCGGTGGGAGGGCGGCTCCAGGGGCCTTTGTCTTCGGGAAAAGCGTCCTCGGACGGCGACGTCCTTCGGGAACCCCCCGCCCACTCTCCGGCTGCAGGTGCGGGGCGGAGGGCGGCCCCGGGAGTCGCGGCTCCGGACGGCCGTTGTGCCGCGGGGTTCCTCCTCCGCGCGCTGGGAACGGGGCGGTGCGGGGTCGGCCGTGACGGCGCGGAGCGGTGCTGGGGCTGCGCTCGGCACCGCGTTAAGGCGGGGTAATGGGTCGGTACCGCTCCGAAATGCCCCGTTATGGCACCGGCCTGTCCCCCTGCCGGCAAACAAGCCGCCGTGCCCCGCCGTTCCCTCCGCTCCCTTGGGTGGCAGAATGGCACGCTGAGCCCCCCCCCCAACCTGCAGCTCTGCGGGGCTCCGATGGCCCTGGTGGTTTCTGTGCTGTGACGCCGAGCATCGGGCTGCTCTGCCAGCTCGGCCCCGCCGTGCTGCAGGACGAGCTGCTCCGGCTCACCCTGCCAAACGTCAGCTTATCTCACCCCCGGAGAGATGCATCTTTATGGCTCTGCATCTTTATTTCCATGTATATTCGCTGCAGCTGTGTTGATGGGAGCTGAAGCACAAACAGGTTATCCCGTGGGTGAGGTGTGCATACAGAGCCCCTGGGAGCTGCCGGTGTTTGGGGTGTTGGAAGGGGAATCTGGTCCTTTTGGCAGTGGCCAGCTTTGTGTTTCCTTGGGGCCGTGGAGCTGTTTGGTGCTCTGGGAAAATGGGGTGGAAGTGCCTGGAAGTGGGGCTGCCGCCGTGGGGAGGCAGCCTCAGGATCCCAACAGCTGCAGCAGGCACAGATCAGCTGCGCTGTGTTAATGGTGTGATCTCCGCAGGGAGAGGTCCTGGAGCCCCATGTGCTCCCACAACAGGATGGAGACGGGCTGATCCCAGGGAACTGAAGGGGATTAAAATTCTTGTGTATTTCAGGGAGCTGTGATCCCTTCTCCAAGGCAGGGGCCTCTTGTGGGGTCACTGGGGCGGGCGGTGCCAGTATTTGCTGGGATGGCTGTTTGCAGCCCCATGAGCAGCAAAAAGCTCCGAACAGGCAGGGCTGAACGGCAGGGACATCAGCCGTCCTTTGGAGCAGGGCTGAACGGTGACAATTTGGAGAAAGCCCCGGGTTGAGGGGCTCCAAAAGCTCGAGGGCACTCCATGTGGTGGCACTCGGTTCCTTCTGGAGGGACAGCAGCTCCGTGTGAGAAGCAGCTTCCCAGCTCTGTGCTGAGAGCATCCCGCATCCCTCCGTAGGGAAGGGTGATGTGGGACCGCCTGGAGGCAGAGAGGAGGGCAGAGGGGATGGGAGCAGAGGAGACGGACCTGTTGGGGCTGCCCGGCTTCTTAGCATGGGAGGCGCGTATGGCTGTCACAGTCTGCAGCTAATTACAGGGACCTGTCTGCAGCCCAGACGGCTGCCAGCCATCGTAATCACATCAAACTGGGATGGGCTGGGCTCTTTTGCACGGCCCCATTGATTCACAGCCCTGTCCCCAGCCTTACCCCAGCGGGCTCCTGCTGGCCAGCCTTGCATGGGTAGGGCCCAGTTTGCTGCGTCCGTGGGGCACCCTGGGGATCCAACAACAGCAGATCAGCCGTGCAGTTTGGGATCTTAGCAAACAGAGCAAAGCTTGGGAATGCCATCTATGTCCCATGGGAGGGATGCATTACCCACAGGGATTGAAGGCAGCAGCAGGGTTGGCACCCCGCACCCACGGGTGTTTCAATTCAGCACCCCAGGGTCACAGCAGCTCCATCCCAGCCGTGGAGCTGCGGCTGTTTGCTGATCCAACACCACTGGTGGTCCTTCATCAAGCTGGCACCTCTGTGGTCTGCGAATGCACAGAACTGGGTCAGGTGTGTTCCTCCAAGCAGCAATCTGTAGCCATTCTCAGCATGCAGCCGGCCTGCCTGAATGCTGGCAAGGACATGCAGAGCCCAGGGAGTAAGCCGCCCTTCTGCTTTATCCCATTGACTGCCAATCTGCCGCGTTAATCATTGACCCCGGTGCACGGCTGGGAGTCCTGAGCTCAGAGCCGTGCACGTACATCCTGGTGCCCTGGGATGCTCTGCTGCTGGGGCAGAGCTGCGGGAAGGCCTGGAGCCTCCGAGGGCTGAGGTTACCGACCTCCGTGCCCACAGCTCTCCGCCCTTTCCTGGGGAGCCATTTTGAGGGGGGTGTCAGCCCTCGGGCAGCTCTTGGGCGGTGCGAGCACAGTGCAGAGGTTCCCACAGCGAAAGCCCCGGGCTGCTGTGCGGGGAGCCCCAGGAGCCGCCGCATCGCTTTGTTTTGAAAAGCCGAGGCAGGAAGGAAGAGAGCGGTGACAAACGCTGCGTGGGGAAGGGACGGGACGGGTTCGCACCGCAGAGCCCTGAGCCAGGCACGCCGGGCGAGCAGGAACAGCGGCTCGGGGCAGAACAATAGCAGCCCGGGGGGAATAAATTATTTTCCACCGAATTGGGCGAGACCTCGGTCTCCTCCCACTGCTCCGCTCAGGGACAGGCCACTAACCCCGGACTCAGCCGTGCTGGGAAAGGGCTGGCGGCAGCTGCGGGACATCTCCCACTGTGGATGAGCAAACATCAAAGTGCGGCTCTCCCGGAGCTGCCCCAGGGTGAGCACAAAAGCCCGCGGTCCAACCTCCCCTCCCCACAAGCCTCCCGACATCCTTTCCTAGCGCTCCACGTCCGGCAGGCAAAGCCCCCGTCGCAGGGCTTATTTGTAAACCCGGAGATCGCTGCAGAGACTCAGCGAAGAGCCTCGATGTCCCCGCCGCGCTGACCCAGCAGGATGACGCCTCCTGGGGACAGACTTCTCCGCGCCGTGCCGAGGTTCTCCCGCAGCTCCGCTCTTCTCTCCGCAGCTCATGTCCCGGCCGAGTCCCGCATGGCCGCAGCGAGACGAACCCCCCCCGTGCGGCACCGCCACCGCGCTCCCCCCGGCCTCGTCCGACAGCGACTCCGGCTGTGCCCTGGAAGAATACCCGGAGCCCCCCGCAGAGCCCGCGGCCCCCGAGGTGAGCAGCTCCGACCCCGAGGGGCAGACGCGCCTTTAGCTGAAGCGACGCCGCTTCATCCCCTCAGTCACCCGCCTGTGTTTCCCCAAGGTCCCCGCCGGCTTCGAGAGCCGCCCCACGGATCAACCCCGTCCTGCCGGCCGGAGCCTGCTCCGTGTCAGAGCCCTCCTGCAGCAGCTGCCGCCTCAAGACTGCGATGTAAGAAACGCACGCGTTTGCTCGATGCCGCCCTCCCCCCGCTCCGCTCCCGCGGGTCCTTCACCTCCACCTCCCGCGCAGGAGCGGTACTGCCCCGACCTCGAGGAGGAGGAGAGGAAGCAGCTCAGGGCGTTCAGCGCCCGCCGCCGACGGGACGCGCTGGGCCAGGGGGTGGCGGTGCCGGTGCCGGGCTCCCGCCACGGCTGTCCGTGCAGGAAGGTAAGGCCGCTCCCCGACGGACAGCGCGGAGCCGCCCCCGAAACGCAGCCTCACCGCGACCCCGTGCTTTGCAGTGCGGCAGGAGGCTGAGCAAAGGAGACCCCGGGATTGCGGCGTCGCGGCTGGGAGAGCAGCTCTGGCACCCGCCCTGCTTCTGCTGCCACGTCTGCCACCAGCCCCTGGTGGACCTCATCTACTTCCAGCAGGATGGAAGGATCTACTGCGGTCGGCACCACGCCGAGCTCTTTCGGCCTCGCTGTGCCTCCTGCGACCAGGTGGGCACCGGGCGAAGAGGTGCTTTGGGCTCCGTTGTGCTGCCATTAGGTGCTCCTGTGCTCTGCTGGCAGCTGCAAACGCAGCAGGACGAGCCAGAGGAGCTCCCTTCCTGCACCCCAGGGATCCCCATGCCTGCTCCAAAGCACAGAAAAGCATGTTCTGGGTGGTGTATTCTGTGCTTATGGGATGGTTTGTTTGTTCCCTTCCAGCTGATCTTCTTGGAAGAGTGCATCGAGGCTGAGGGCCGGCGCTGGCACCCGGAGCATTTCTGCTGCCTGGAGTGCGACGCACCGCTGTGCGGGCAGCGCTACGTGATGCGGAGCGGCCAGCCCTGCTGCCGCAGCTGCTTCGACAGCCTCTTTGCCGAGCCGTGCCAGGCCTGCGGGGAGCCCATCGGTACGGCCGTGCTGCCAGGGGGACAGGTGGGCTGTGGGAGGCCCCCCCTTAACCTGTGATCCCCTCGTAGGTGTCGACAGCGAAGAGGCCACACACCAGGGTCTGCACTGGCACGCCTGTGCTGCCTGCTTCTGCTGCAGTCTCTGCCGAAAGCCGCTGCGTGGGCAGCCCCTCACCGCCCGCTGCGGGCGGCTCTTCTGCTCCGAGAGCTGCAGTCTGGGCCGGGATGCGTCCTCTGCTGCCTCCACCACCTCCGATTCCTCTGACTCGGCCTTTGTCTCGGCACCGTCCCCTGACTCGACGCCCGTCTCCAGAGCCAGCCACGCCACCAGGGCTGGGAGCACCGCGGCAGCTGGGGGCTGCAGACAGCGGGTGGAAGGGGCTGGTAGGGGACCTGAGTGCTCCACTTGCAAGGGATTGGGAGGGAAATGGAAGCAAATCCAGGCTCTGGGTACTTCACTGGGGGTACAGCACGTGTGTGCAGCCCAACTCAGGGCTGTAGCAGCAGCTGTGGGCTCCCAGCCCACATCCCACATCTGAGGTTTGGTTGGGACAACCCTGTTTTGCATCCTGGGACAACCCCTGCCGAACAGGCAACTGCAGCAAGGCAGGCTCAGCCTTCTTCTCCCATACCCTTCATTGCTTTTTTTCTTCCAGAGGTGCTACCAGATCAGGCCTCTACACATCCTGCGTTCAGGAGCCCAGAGGACCACGGAGCAGCTGTGGAGAGGAGCAAGGATTCTGTGTGCACAGGGATGCTGGGAGCATCAACCAGCCACCCCTCCAACGTTCAGCCCTGCACAGAGGGTCACTGCAGGCTTCTGGGAGGTCCTGAATGCCGAATACTGCCAGGGGATGGAAACCCACACTTCCAAGTGGGTCGGCCCCCTGCCCAACCCGGCCTACATCTGGAGGACATTGACCCACAGGATATCATGGAAGAGGACGATTCCTGGTGTCCCACCTGCTCTTCATCCTCAGACTCTGACTCGGAAGAGGAAGGTTTCTTCTTTGGGAAACCCATCCCCAAGCCCGGGATGAGCTCTGTGGGCAGGGAGCCCCAGCGCCTGGAGCGGGCAGGGCGCAGGATGGCGAAGCTGCGTGGCAGCAGCAAGCACTGCAGCGTGTCCTAGCGCAGGGACGCTCGGTACGCAGGGGGCCCCAGGCGCTGCAGAGGCTGCTGGGAAGGTGGCACTTTGCGTGGTATTGAAGCAGAGGGGCAGCGGCTGGGGGCCAAATGCACAGGTGGGGGGGGAGAGGGGGAGAGCACCTTGTATGGCGCTGCCATCCTGCCAGCACTTGCAGTGGTCTCAATGCATTGCAAAGACTTTTTAGACACAGCCCAAGGCGGAGGTGGCGGGGGGGAGGGAGAAGCTGCTGGGATCTTTGACGAGCAGATGCTGGCAAAGCACGGCCTGCAATGCCTGCTGGCCTCTCCCTCAATTAGGAACAGGTAAAGCGAGCAGGGAGCAGAGAACCAGCAGCCCGCACTGGGGTATGGTCTGACTGCTGTCTCAGGCAAACCCAAGGCCCCAGAGAGCAGCTGTGCTCTGGGAGGGCAGCCAAGGACTTAGGACACGGGCAGACACCTGCATGGCACCTGCTGCAGGGATTCCTGCCCAGACTGGCCAGGAGAGATCTGGCCACTAGGGTCAGATCCAGATGCCAGGTGAGAATCCCTCACTCATAGAGATAGCTTGGAGGAGCAGAGCTGATGCTGCCCCGCATGGGGCTGTGTCCCCTGCTGCTGCAGGGAGGAGACCAGCGGGGCAGATCTGCCACCATGATGGACGATGCTCCAACAAAGCTCAGCCAAGGCCTGAATACACAAGAGCCAGCCACACCTGGCCTGTTTCTCTCCAGCCTGGGTTTGCAGCAGCATTAACTGTGGTGCTGGAGAACCGTTTTTGAGGGCAGCTGAGGGGCCCCAGGGAAGGACCGAGCTGGGGTGTCACCGTGGGACCCCTCCCTGTGCCCACTGCCCCAGCAGAACAGGAACGGAGCAACAGCAGTGCAAAAATAACTCCTTTTTATTTATGAACACAAGAACAAACCACAAATTGTAAGAGAACATCCATGAAAAACAAGAACAGAATAAAGAGAGCTCCCCCCTCCCTCCAATAAAACCATCTCCTGTCTCTAAAATATAGGCCTACGTATGAATCCTATCTTGCCCACACTCCCCAGTTACTGCCTACAACATCAGCCCCAACCTCCCTCCCAACTCAGCCCCCTCCAGCCAACCCCCAACCCCCCAAGAGGGCCCACGGCAGCACATCCCTGCAGCCCCAGCGCAGGCTGTGCCAGCACAGCCCCACAGCTCCCTCCTCAGCAGCTGGGGTGCGTGGCATCGTAGTGCTGAATGAAGTCCTGCAGCTCCTTGAGGAGTTGGTTGCGGAGCTCGCTCAGGTTGGCTCTCAGCGCCTTCATCAGCAGCGCCTCCATGGAGGGCTCCTTCTGCAGCAGCATCGCGGACACCAGGGCAAATTGGAGGCAGAAGTCGTGGTAGCCCTGCGGGGAGCGGCGCGGTTCAGCACGGGGCAGCCCAGAACCTCCCCGCCAGCGGCACAAAGTGGTTCTTTCTTCCCTCAGAGTGTCCCAGAGGCGGCAGCCTCTCCCCGCAGTGCTGTGCTGAGCTGCCCCACGGCTCGCCGCCACCCGGCTCTGCTCCTTTCCCCCACAGAATCACAGAATTGTAGGGGTTGGAAGGGACCTCCAGAGATCATCGAGTCCAACCCCCTGCCAAAGCAGTTTCCTACACCAGGTCGCACAGGTCGGCATCCAGGCAGGTCTTGAACATCTCCAGAGCAGGAGAATCCACCACCTCCCTGGGCAGCCTGTTCCAGTGCTCCGTCACCTCACTGTACAGAAGTTCCTTCGCACATTGGTGCAGAACTTCCTATGCTGCAGTTTCCGGCCGTTTCCCCTTGTCCTGTCTCCACTCACCACTGAAAAGAGTCCGGCCTCGCCATTCTGCCCCCCAAACCTCAGATACTGATAGACCTGGATCAGGTCCCCTCTCAGTCTTCTTTTCTTGAGGCTGATCAGACCCAGTTCACTCAGCCTTTCTTCGTAAGAGATGCTCCAGGCCCCTCACCATCTTTGTGGCCCTCCACTGGACTCTTTCCAAGAGAGAACCCTGTGGGTTCTGAAGCTCCCAATGGCTCTCCTGCCCACGGCCGGTCCCGCTCGCCCTCGCCTGTGCCGGGACTCACCTGCTCGATGCTCTCCTTCTTGGTGAGGATGGCGGTGGAGCGCAGGTCCGTGCCGGAATGTGCGGAGCGCGGGGGGCGGGGTAAGCCCTGGAAACCTGCAGCCTGGGCGGTGGAAGAAGGGAGGTGCGGTTGGACGCCTGACGGGGAGAAGGCCTGGGCAAGGGAACGGGTTGGGGCTGGCAGCACCTTGGAACTGCAGGCTGGGGACCAGTCAGCCTGGGGGGAACCTGCTGGGACCCCGCCACCTTCCCCCACGTGCACGAGGCGGCCCCTTGCTTCCCACTTCCACTGCAGCCCAGGAGCCTTGCCTTCAAGAGCCGAGGGTCCCGCTGGCTGATTTCCCTTCCCCACCAGGCCACAATTCGGCCTCCCTGCAGCACCCTGGTTTGCTTCAGTGCAGCTCGACTCCTGGCCTTGCTCATGCTACAGCACGTTCTCAATCTCCACGTTCTTTTTTTGGCCTTTCTCCGCACGGACTCCCATTTATCAGCCTCTCCTGAAGAGCCAGCACCAGGGCTGCTGTGGGCTCCGCATCCAAATAAAGCAAGGCTTTACCCCCAGGACGTAATCCTGTGACTGGGGACGCCACAGAGGAACTCCCCCCGAGGCTCCTGGCCTAGATTAATGCTCCTGGGCCTCCCTGCAGGTGCTTCCCAGAGACACGCGGGCACCATTCTGGCACAGTGCACAGGGCAGGGCTGCGCACGTACCAGCTCTGTCCAAGCCCAAGGAGGCTGCCCACTCCTGGCTGGTGCTGCTGCCTCAGTGCAGACACTGGAGCCGGCCGTGCTGGGCTGTGTGCTGCTGGGCTCTGCAGTAACTTCCAGCGGGATCTGCGAGTGTTCAGATTGGTGAAGGCCGCAAAGAAGCGGTGGGAAGGCGCCCAGGGGATGAAAACAGAGGCTGTGTGAGAACAGCGGGAGCCAGCACTGCAAGCTAATGCTGCTGCCTTCAGGAAGGGAAACCTCAGGCACTCTTCTCCCGGGAGGAAACAGCACAGAGTAGTGCAGCCACAGGCTCAAACCCACCCCATCCCAGGCAGCCACCACCTCTGCTTCACCAGCAACACGTGGCAGACGCTGTCATGCTTGAGAGGGCAGGCAGAGCTCAGCGTGTGCCTCCAAAATGGGGCCAGCACTGACAGCCTCAGCAGGCTGCAGAGATAATGGACTGTGCGGATACAGCTCAGCACTTCCACTAGCCTCAGGGGCGCTTTGGCTGCGTGGCTTTATCAGTGCAAAGCACTACAGCTGCATTTCAGAGTCCACACAGAGGCATTTGGATACAGCCCGGGCAAACAGAAGAATGAGGTTCATGGAGGGGACCGCAAAATCCCACCTTCCCTGGTGGCACGACATTTAGGCAGAAAGAGGAGACAGATGCATGAGCGCGTACCAGCTCCAAGCCTTCCTCCTCGCTGGTGCTGGATGTCTCCGAGGAGACTGGCTCCAACTCCAGGGCACAGAGCTGCTCGTTGTCTGCAGCTCCCTCTCCTTCGGGCTCAACCTGCAGACACGCAATAGCATGAGGCAGGGATGAGCTGGGAGACAGGACAGGCAGAGTGCTGAAACCCAAAGGAAACCGGGACATGCGCAGCCCAAGAGAAAAGTCAGGAAAACATCAGGCTGCTCCCACTTCTGTCCAAGAGACACCAAAGTGAAGAGTGAGAGAGAGAAGCGAGGTGTGACACAGGTGGAACGGATCCCCCGAGCTGGGCGGCTCCCCGGGTGAAAGTCTCTCCATCTGCACTCGGGAAAGAGGTGCACACGTACTGGCTTTGCTCCTGCCGCTGGCTCCTGCTCTGCTGCCTGGGGGTCAGTGCCCAGGCTCTTCTCTGGGCTCTTCTCTGCATGCCCGGGCTGTTGCGGCGCCTTGCTGCTTGCCACCAGCTGGCCCTGGGGGAAATCCTGCTGGTCAAGGCCATGGCAGCACCAAGGGATCCATGTGGCCGTGAAACTGGAGTCAGCACGGTGTACTTGGGGTACAAACCCACCTCACCCACCTGCTGCTGGCTTTGCAGACTCTTTCTGCAGGCAGCAGGTGACTGGGGAGCCGTGAGCTGCTCTCTGACCCCTGGCTGGCTCTCCGGGGAGCAGGACCGAGAGGGCTTGCAGGATGGACGGTAGCCTGCGGAAACACAACAGCACTTAATAAGCAAAGTGCCAACCCTCCCCACGCAGATGCTGCTGGCTGCACACACCACAGAGGGGTCCTGGGCAGCAGCCAGCGCTGCAGCAGCACCAACCTCGGGAGCTGCGGGGAGAACGGCTGCAGTCTGCTGTCTCCTGCTGGATGGGCCGAAGGAGTCGGTAGCGTCTCCGGCGTGGGCCATAGTGGCGCCGGGGGAAGCAGTTGTCCCAGGAGGCTTCTTGCTCCCTGCAGGAGCAAAGGCAGCCCCAAGGGAAATTCAGACTGGCGAGGATCTCTGGTGCAACCTCCCACCTTCAGCAGGGTCAGCTTCAACGCCGCGCTGCCTGGAGCACTGTTTAACCCCCTGCACCAGCCTGCTGCCCGCAGCCAATTGCTGTGCGCCACAGCTGAGCCAAGACCTGTTTGCACATGCAGCACAGCTCCCCCTCCACCCGAGACCCCAGAAGGGACCACCACTCCTCAGCCAAGCCACACGAGCTGTGCTCAGCCCACCCGCAGCAGGATGTATAAGACAACCCCTTTCCAGCCACTGCCCCAGCCTCACTGCGGGCACCCACCATGGGAATCCAGCAGGACGCTGCTCCTGGCTGGGGAACTCAGGCTGGGCCAAGAAGTCCCGGTGACGCAGCTGTGGTATCTGAGGAGAGCAGTGGTTTACACACTGAGCAAGTAAGGAGACACGCCAGCTGGCATGAGGGCAGCCCATCCCAGGTGTCACGGCCACCGCCATTCCTCCCCAGCCTGCCTCCCTCACCGGCTGTAAGTCCATGACAAACATTACTTTATGGCTCTGCTGGTCCTCTCTGTACATCCAGGGAGGTGGTGGCACATCACGGTTCTGGGAGGACCGTATCCAATTCTCCTCATTCTGGAGGATATCAGCAGGGCCAGGGAAAGGCCTGGGCTGCCTGGCACTAGGCTGCCAAAGCAAACCGCAGCAGGTGAGGCCAGAGGCTCATTTGGAGCAGCAATGCACCCTGCAGGCTTCTAGGGAGATACTGCCTGTGCTCTGTGCTCCCCTTTCCAGTTCTCCTCTTCCCAATGGAATCCCACCCTTTGGACAACCCAAATTTGAAGGAGAACCCCAACAGCTCTGCCCACACCCCATCTCTTACCAGATGCATTCTTCCCCTGGCTCTCCAGTGCTGCTGCTCCCACAGAGGATCGC